CTTCAAGACTGGATAACAATGGCCGGACATAGCAAAACTGCATTCGATAAGGACAACTGCAGCTCGGGACTTGGATCAGTAGCGGTTTAAGAAAAATATATCATTGAACTTGATTGAACTTAATTAATATAATTTCACTAATCTCACTTGTAGTTAATATAATTTCACTAATCCCATCTCCAATACGTATAAATAAGCCGGTTTTGTAAATGTATCACTGTTGATTTGAAAGTATAAAGACTGCCGAAACTAATATTATGTATAAACGCATGAAGGCCGCCTATGTTTTATCAAAATCTCATGCATTTCACGCAAATTTTTCTAAAGTTAAATCGCGATTTCAAACCAAAAACAACGAGAACAAAATGAGACCTGCTGCGCTTGCCAAGCGTATAGCGGCATGATTATGGATGCTTATCACAATAAATCATGAGAAATTTTGGTTCTATAGAAGAAAGCTAGCTATTACGAATGTTTGTTAAAATTACCAATTCAAAGCTCACTTTTCGCCTTCATTTTCGTTTTATTTTTTACATGTATAATAGCAATCCAGTCCACTCCTTGTTAATTTATCGTTTAGCCAGCTCGCCTGGCTGCAGATGTTATGATTAAGCCTGCTCAACAAAAACAGCAGCTGTTCCAGCATTAATGGGATAGTGGCTTAGACCAAGAAGACATAAAAAAAGACCAAAATGACATCTTGGAATGCCGGTGCACTTTGAAAGGAAAAATTTGCCCTGTCTCTGAAACTAGTGAACTATGTTTATATAAAAATTCCGATAACAGAAATATTAGACGACCCAGAAAACCGCTGTTATAGACTAGATTCCTAAAATCTCGTACACCAGCGGTCTTTTAAGAAAGCAGGTCAGGCGTGTAATTCAACTGCAGGAGGCAAGCAATTTTGGATAAAAGGTCTTGACAAATCTGTGCTTGGTGTCTGGGTGCTCTTCTCTGACAAAAGAGCTGTGCATCGGCAAAAACCCACAGGCTTCCAAAACAACGTCGTTCTGTACTTCATTCATATGTGGTGCTACTTTGATCGGTTGCAATTCATAGCTGTTCTTCAGCAACCACACATGCCACCGCATTCAAAAATGTATTCGTAAAAAGAAAAATGCCAGTAAGTCACGCCAACACCAATTTTGCGTGACCAGGGGGCATTTTTTGTACTGAAATTAGCCAATATCAACTTACTAACAAAAACGAATCCCACGCCACTTTAAAAACATTACAACGGTGAACTATGAACCACGGGCAGTACCTCCACTCGAGGAAGAGCTACTAAAACACGGATCGGCTCGACTCGGCCTGTCTCACACACGAGCTGCAAAAAATTTTTTTTCCGGAAGGCGGGTAGGGTTACCCCACGGCGGATGACGGTAGTTTGAATGTGGTGCCATTGTAATTTAAAAAGTAGACGGGAAGGGTTTTTATGGCTTTTCAGGTCACACATTTGTGATGTGTAACGTATCAGGGTAGGCGCATTTTACAGCCCCTTGAGGTCATCTATACACCTCCTATCTTGGCTACGCTCACATTCTTCCCA